GCGCTTGCATTAGTTTGATAGTACGATTTTGTTAAGTGCATTATGCCGCATAAATGGAAAAGTACTTGACCATAAGTGTCTTAATAGACGACGCTACCAAATTAAATCCGTTTCTAAGAATTCACCGATCTATAGTTTGATCTGTGAACTATGAAAGCAAAGCTAGCCTGAAAAAAATACCTTGTGATCATACCTGTCGTTTTCACTCCTCATTTAATCGGCTTATTTTTAAAGCTAATGAGTAGTAGTTTATAAAAACTTAAGAAAATTTACTCTCTAATTTATTGCTCAGAAAAAATTCGTATGAAGATTGATAAAACTGTCAAACTTCTGAAAACTTATTGTAGAAATAAATATGTTTCTATCAAACAGGATTTTCTGTCTTCAGTAAATTATAACGTTATACTAATCTAAATAGCTGAATTTTACTTTCCGTTCATCTAAAAGAGAAGCAATTCCTGCGAATAAAAAAGCTATCAGCGCAGTTCTTGAGGGATTAAAATATGAAACAGATCAAGCTTCTTACCGTGTATCTGTCTTTATCATGGTCTGTGACGAGACAGAAGGGGTTGCTAGGGCGTCTATCATGGTCTGCGACTAGAAGGAGTGACTACTACAGTATCTGTGGCGGTCTGTGGGCAAGATAGAGGAAATGAGTTCAAAATTCCTACCCCTATACTTCAAAACTCTTTTCAGATCGTGTTTCACTAAAGAAAACGCTTCGATATTATCAACTGAAGCTCATTTCCAATAAGCTGTTCCATCGTTCAAGACTAGAGATGTGAACGCGGCGACAAAAATTTTTTAGTCACCATCAAAGATTTGCTTGCTGTCTCATCAACTTTATTGTTAAATTATCGTTCAGCCATGCATTTTATAGAGGAATGTTTACTCTTTCTACTTGCATGTATTTAAATATTCCATAAAATTTCGTTATAAAATAATTTAGCAAATACAGTAAAACCTCTATTAGTGAACACCTCTCTATAATGAACACCTCCCATTTGAACAGATATTTCAGTCCCCCTGATCGATTTTTGCTGTAAATAGACCTCCGCAAGATGAACACCTCCCGACTCTGAACATTGAACACTTTTTTCGATTATTTCTGTACAAAAAAACCTCTGCATCATGAACATACACTGACTAATTACGCTTTCGTCTATGAAATAAGGAGATACAAAAACAGGCTACATAATAAAGCAATGATAAATTAAATTTGGACGGTCAATTCGCCATAACAGGCGTTGTCGTATGTATGGAACAAAGAGAACAATGAAAGTGAATAGTCCACGATGAGTTAATCGATTCTGTGTGAGACAGCAACGCACATTTCTAGTTTCAATTATAAATTGGCGACAAAATACACACTAACCTTATCTGAAAAAGTACAATTAATTTGTCAAAATGGAAATAATACTTCTTATCGTACACTTGCTGAGAATTACAAGATAAAAAGATACTTTTTTATTTGGCACTGATCATAACAGGTATTAATATAAAAGGCGTATCGTTATCATTCGTGTATACTAACTATATACTGTATACATATATAAACTTCATTCACGGTGAGACCTCCCTAAGATGAACACCTCCTTTAATGAACACTTTTTGAACAGTCCCGTTAGTGTTCAACTTAGAGAGGTTTCACTGTATAACAACCAGAACCAAACTGGTTCCGGTCGCGGTCGATCCTGACGTCATTTTCTGCGACTATGGTAATCACTCAGTGTTCACGATAAGCTTATTTGTAGAGAAAATATTTCTCCACAAAACGTATTATTTGGCAATTTATTACGTTTCCAGTCTATAGAAATATTGTCAAATCTATTACCGGGACCAAAATTGGTCCTGCACATCTATAGTCTAAACAATTTATAAGCAACGTCAAGCAAATTTCCTACAGCTATGTCGTTTTTAGTCTTAAAGTAAATCATGATAAGTAATCCTGTTGCATTAAATGTGCATAACTAATCTTTAGTATATATGTTACCTGAGAAGTATGTAAATATACATTGGTAATTCCATTTCCTTCAGCTAATACTCTTTGTATCAAATTGTATGGAGAAAGACAAAAATTTTGCAATTGACATACTCAATACTTTTTTAAACTGAAATATGGCAACGCAAAATCTACGGAGTTATAGAAATTTATATTCAGAATGAACAAGATGACTTTGAAGATGATTTGAAAATGGTAGATGCTCGACCCATCAATCATCCTCAACACTGATGGTCCTTAAAAATTTGACTTAGTATATTGCCAATTCATTGTCATCATTCTTCGTCACAGGTAGCAGCGATTTCAATAACTTAATAGCTCAACAATGTATCGTTATTCAAATTCAGCTTTTAAGTTGTACATTATTCCCCACCAACCATTAAACAGACTGTCAAAGTAATTTATGCTGTTTTTCTTCCAAGAGAATTGAAAGGTTTCTTTTCTTTCAAAAGGACGAATGCATTATTTCGCGAAAAATAATATTCACAGGGTGCGCGATTTTTCGAGCTTCATCATCAAAGAGCCTTGTAATTTCGCTCAACACTCTATTGCATTCGTTTTACGCATCTCGTCTTTATTTAATGTAATAGAAAACAGAAATTGTGTAGAAGTTTGTTAATGCTATTTGTACAAATTCAATCTCAAAATAAACCTCATACAAAATACAGTTAAACTTTTACATGTCGTGTCTGTGCTTCGAATAGGTATCTCTCATAGGGATCTAGTTTGTGACTAAATAGTAGTAAAACCTTGTTAGCGCAATCTCTTTGAGATTAACATGTGAGACATGATCAAGCTGCTTATTAACATCGTGGATGACAAAAAAAAATTACGGTAAGGCGTCTGTTTTGGTTTGTCACTAACGTTTTGTCACAGTCTGTGATGAGAACAGGGAAGGATGGGGAGAGAAGGCGTTCCTAGGGCATCTGCGAGGTTGTGACACAGATGGAACTGGTACTGGTCTGGATTGATCTATTTCGACCGGTGCCAGTACAGATCTTCAAAAATCCAGACCAGTTCCATCTATAGTTCGTAACGTTTCCATGCTTACATTTGTTATGGTCTGTAGGAGGAGAGGATAGCATTGGAATCCAAATTTCCATTTTTATTCACTTCAACACTTCTTTTCAATCGTGTTTTATAAAATGACTCTTACTACGGATGACATTGTATCCTTAAGATGACTTAGTATTCTACAAAGCTCTTGTCACCTTTCATATTTTATAAGTATTTTATAAATTCGCATAGCTAGTCAGAACAAAGTATTCCAACAATTACAATTGTTTTACGTCTTTTTGAGTTGCACGAAAAGAACAAAAGGTAGATTTTGTCCTTGGTATCAACAATTAGTCATTATTCTCTACTTTTGCTCTCCGTAGAAATCAATTATCTTAGTCGTTGATTCCAATTTTCACAAAGCTTCTCTTTAGACTGAAATATATTTTTCGAGTGGCACAGAATGAGTCGTTTTTTTCTTCTTCCGCGCATCAACGGGTGTATATTTTTTTCGTCATACATCATACTATGATGCAAAAAATTCAGATGACTCATCATTTACAGGAACTATGAAATATAAGTTTATATGTGTAACAGTCACGATTTCCAATGACGTTATGGCTCTTATCAAAAAAATTTATAAAGAACACTCCGCTTAATACTACAAAGACAGAGACTCAATTTTTAGGTGTAGATGCTTTTTCTACGGTATACATGTGATCATATAATAATAGATCGTTGAATATAATATTGAGAAACCAATTAGTAACAGAAACGCGTGATTTCCCCTATTTAAAATTGAAAGTAAAATATTATATGTAGATGAAATATTAAAAAAATACTAAAATATTTTAATTTTCTTCCTAAGAAAATATTCAAAATTTCGAACAATTATTGTATTCTGAATATATTAAAGTTATGTAAATACGTAAGCAAGACGAAAATTCGCACATATCACTTTCATTTGTGTCTCATCGTAAATCATATATATTCCCTTCGATTCTTCTGTTAAAAAGATGTTAAAAAATAAACATATTCACAAATTAAAATGAAATGTGTAGGTACTAAAACAAAACTAATACAAAACATAGTAAATTGCAGTCGATATTCATCTGTTGATAAGATTTTTGACCAAACAACATGGTGCATTATTTGTATATGTTGAGTTCGCCGGGGGAAGTATGATACAGGTATCGTATGCAATTTTATCGAAAAAAAAACTTCCAACTAACTGATTTCGGTAATACTATTAATATCGCTTCTGGACACCCTTTTACCAGCATTGTATAAAGAATTTTCAATATAATTTGTATCGACCGTTAACACACGGATTTGTACAGTTGAATAACTTAATCCTTCGTTTTCAAATAGAAGTATTCAACATTTTTCGATATTAGTATTTCATGGATATTTTAACAAACCATGCATATTTAGTCAACCTTTCTGGCCTTCCATCTTTTCATTGAAAGGAAGGCCGGACACTTACTCACGTGGACGTGGATCTGAATAAGTGCCAGTGTACTACGTTTCTACATCTACTTAAACACCAGCATCTGCATCCACACTCGCGAGAAAATGCTTTTACGAGTAACTATCCTAAATCCAATTAAACGTTAGTTTCGTCAACTTTTCAATGTTTGCTGGAAGGCATTTAACCTTACTTCAGCAGTGACAGGGTTCACAAGGATTCTTTTTCTATATAAAAAAACTGACCAATCCTCTATTCCGTGCTTACCAACTCTAAAAGAAAATATATCAAGCGACAGACAACCTTAGTTTTTTGCCATTTATCAAAAGAAATCCTATATCTCAAACACAAACGATAATACTGATATCCTACTCCAACTGTTTTTTTTTTCAAAAATTTTCTTTTTGGCGTTTCTTCCTTCTTTGTTTTAGAAAAAGTAAACATCATCTTGTAGAAAATGAAGAAAAACGAAGTCAAATACAAAATGTTGGAAACAAAGAAATGGTGTGAAATACCAAATAATATTATACTATACTAACTTGAAGGATGTTGACGACCAGCATTATGCAGAATTTCAGCACCTAAAGTGGACGAAGATGGAGGATTATCTGATGGAATATCATCAGAAGCAGCAAAACCTAAAATAAATTAAGGTAAGTTACAAGAAAGAAACTCTAGAAGATATATTTTTACCTGAGATGAAATTAGTGAGATCACTAGCACCGATATCTTGAATATCTGTAGTACCAACAGCTTGAGATAGTCGAGCGGTTGAGTCTTAAATAAAAAAAAATACTCATATAAGAAAAAACTCTCTTAACCTGTTTTTCTGCAACGTCCAAGTCCTGTAAATTTATTTTCTTAGAACGTATCATAGATTTTGCAGAATAATATTATCGAGTGGGAGAATAATGCAGCTGTATTCGGTAGCAAGTTCCGTCCTTAATATTTTCGAGAAGACTCACAAAATCAGTTATCATGAGATAACGTTATTTTTTTCTGCACAATTTTTTAGTCATACAAATGACAGTGAAGAATATTTGCTCAATATAATCAGTTATTCTTAACTAAGTTTCAAGCAAAATTATTACTACGTATTCTTCGATTTTGTTTAATAATATTATATCAAATATTTTTTCAAATTAGGATAATTCTATACAACTCTTAAAGTGAAATTTTAATTATTTAAAGACGAATTTTTCATTTATGAAATAATAATTTGGCATTTTTTTTCTTATTTAATAGAATGTTGTATCACAAAAAATGGCTTCATTGTAAATGATATCACAATTGATAAAATTACCAACCAAAAGAAATAATTACAGGTTAGAATATTTCATATGATTTCTAAGATGAGGATAAAAAACCTTTACATAGTTGAGACTTATATTTAATGGAGTAATCAAATAATTTAAATGAGCAATAATGAAATTTAGCAATAAATATATGGAATGAGCAATAATTTATTTAAACTAAAGGTAAATTTTATATAAAAAGGATGTTATAGTGTGACTCGCTTATATATCTTTTCTTCCTTTCTTCTCTTCTACGATGTCGTACAGATAACAAGTACGACATATATATATGTCGGAGTTGACTTTAAAATATTTCAAAATCAACTAGTTGAATTTAAAATTTATTTTGAAGTCAACTAATTGATTTTAAAATATTTTAAAGTCAACTAGTCGCCTTTAAAAGAAGGCTGAATTTTAAAATCAATTCTATTATATGCATAGATCTTCTGTTTTCTTTCTCTCTTCTTTCTTTTTCCTCACTTGGATATTTCTCTTCTCTTGATATTGTTCAGGCATATTTCCTTCTTTGTCATGTTTTCTTTCTAGGGTTTATAGTCTTTTTCCTAGCTCATTCATATATATAATTATCATTTCTCCAATAAAGTAGTAGTTCAGTCTTAATGTGTTAGATCAATCACCCGTTAACAAAAGGCAATATGAATTTATTTATATATACAAATACGTATTTTTTCAATTTTACAAAATAAAATATAAAAAGAAAAGGAGATAGACTATCTAAAGCAAAAAAGCTTTACTTACACAATAATATACTGTTTTTTCATTTTTCATTTTTTTTAATTATAAATAACTTTTTTATTTCTCTAATTCATATAAAATAATGTAGTTTTTCTTTGTTTTATTGCTAAAATATGAAGTTACTATTGCTACTTAATGAATTAGTTATTGTACATTTAATAATACAAAAATACTCAAATAAAGTTTTTTTATTGCTCAAAAATTATTGCTAAATCATATTTTAATTATTGTCCTTTCCAGTATTTTTATTTCTCAAATAAATACAAGCCTATAGTTGATCATAATTTATAATACAAACGTTTGAGAAAAAAATGATAAATAAAAACAAAATGTTTCTTATACTTTACAAATTAGAATCTTTCTTTCAAATCATTTTTATAATATTTAAAATTTTCTCTATTTAGGTCTATTTGTTCCGCCAGTGATAAAGAAAATGATCGGCTAGAACTTATAATTATGTTTCCTGGTACATTATGAATTTAAATTGATTTAAGAATAATTAATGAACAATTTCCTCCCGTCGCACACAATTATTATTTTTCATATTTAATAATTACAAGAGAAACTCATATTCTTATATGGATTAAATATTTCCATATATTTTTATTCTGTTAATTACAATTTTAGTAAGTTTATTTCTCTTAAATAATATTTATCTGAAAAGGATGTCTCTTTCTTTTTATATTAATAGTTAAATAAAATACAATGAAACATGGGTTAGTATTACATACCTTGAAGATTGAAAGACACATTCAACATATACATGATAAATTTCATTCTACTATTTGTTAAATCTCACTTTTGAATACAATCTTTTTCATTTTTGAATGTCTTCTACCGCAGAAGAGCCACATTCTTGCTACAACAAATATGGCAATTATTAGAAAATAAGTCTCAATAACTTACTTGTCCAAACAAAACATTTGTTGATTGAAGATTTTCATCTTCATCAATACTTTGATCATCAAATGTTAACTAAATATATAAAGAATATTAACTGATCAATCAAACAACAAGAACGTAATGTTCATTTGCTTACATGTATAGACATAATTATTTATTAGCTTTTTTTTCTAGAAATATCAATTGATCAAAATAAAATTATATTGATTCCCATGGAAAATGAATATTTATTCGATATAAATTATTTTTATTATTAATTAAGTTCAATTTTCAAATGAAACCCATCTTGAAACAAAAGCACATGCAGAAAAAAGACTGTAAGTAAAAATGTACTCTTTCTCAGTCATTTCCTGGAGTTTTCATTAGAAAATCCAATAAAAAGTTTCCTAAACCAATGATGATAGTTGTTTCAAGACTCGTTTCTTTATATCTTCTCTAGTTTGCTACCCATATTAACATTTAGAGAGTCCTAAAGATTTCCGTGTTCCCTAGACTAAAAGGGTTTTTTTAAATAAATGGACATAGTTTTTGTCAGAAAACGAAAACAATGTCGCGTAGTATTTCAGACTTTACTTATAAAAGTTGAAAGTTCTAAAATTTGAGCTAAGATTTTCAAGCTAGAGTCTCGATTTTTTATTTATCTTCTCGTGAAATATATTTATTTTCTTCCTATCAAAGCGCCATTGTCTATTCAGCTACGTTCGTATATGTAACACCGTAAACAAACGACACCTATTGAATTCCATATCTCATGATCTTCATTTCAAATAAAACACACGTAGAAAGTTTTGAAAATATTTTACGTAAAGAAATTGAAATGTAGTTTTCGTTGGCCCTAAACGTCACAAGTTTCTTAAAATTATTATTGATTCTATAATTATTTTAGAATGTAAATTCGTCTGTTGTTATCAATGATCTATACTTGATAAATTTACTACAAGCTTGTTTAATGCGATTATATTTCGATATAAAGTGTTACGTTATCTCAACCAAATATAGAGTCAGTGTACCTAAAGCGAATGGGTATCTCATAGGTCTTCATTGTGACTCTAATATCTCTGTCATTTTTCGTCGTAAAGTAATTATTTTTATATCATAGGAAAAAAAAACAAAATTTTGCATTTGCTCATATAAAAAAATGTTTCGTAGCTGTAAACATAGTTGAGTAATCAGTGGTAGAAAATCAAAAATCAAAAACATTCGCTTTATATATAATGCACATAAAGCGAACGTCCAGCAAGAAAATGTCTTTAAAGCGAACGTGCTAGCAAAAAACAAACGAAAATTAGTAGAGTGACAGGTCCAAATTCGATCACCAATTTCGATACTTTTTAGAAAAAAGCTCATATCTTTGCTCTACAACGTCCATTTGAGCTCATTCTTTTTTCTGGAATAGAATAAGTGACACTCTACATTTCTGTCGATTTCTCTTTAACAATTAAATATTTCTAAATGAGTATTGACGATTACAAAAGCGTACAGTCGATACTTTTGCTCGTTCTGTTATTTTCCTAATTCAATCACTCCATGCATTGTTGTCCTAATTTGGTCATTTGCATAGGATTTGACGGTAGTTCTCAGAAAAACAGCTATTTCTTACGAAAAAACTTTTCGGTTTGATAAAAAAATTATATCACTCGGTTCCTGAACTCACGACCTATCTTTCTGTATATTTTTTATTAATATTTATCGCCATCTTCACTATACTCATTGCACTACTTTTATGACCTCATTAGGCCGCGCATCTTAATTCGATCACGGCAGCTATTTTATTGTCCTAATTTGATCATCTAATAGGAAATACATGGTGTTTCAGTGAAAAATTGTAAAGACTTTTTGATGCTACTCAAGTAAAAATTCCGACTTCATGTTGAAACAAAATATACACGTTGATTACATTATTTTTAATAGTTTTGTGTAGTTTGCTGTATTTATGTAGAGCATTGGAAGTTTCTTATTTTAACATAATTGAATAGAGCATTGACTACTCTATCGAACCATATAATTTACATTTTATTTTCTCTTGATCTAGACCAGAAAATTGATAAATCTCAGACAGGTATGAAAAAAAAATTTTTTCCAGATTGTTTACGTTGTTTTTCATGAATATAAACAAAAAACCAGTACAATTATAAACGAAATTCAATGTGAGAGTCTTGAGCATTATATATCATGAAAACCGTTTTGGGCCAAGAAGCTAATACTTTATCGGTATGCAGCCGGCCGAAAAATTATTGAGACATGTATCTTGCACTTGCTCAAAATGAGTTTTGGTTCAAGCACATGCAAATCTCATGAAATTTTCATCTGTACACCATGCGGCTAGATGGAAATATTTACCAAACAATGATAAACAATAGTTAATTTAACAAGCCAGATTTCTCTGTCTAGATTCATTCTACCTGTTTAAAAGTTTTTTTGTTTGAAAGAGCATGTTAAGATGCAAGGCATGGTAGAGTCGTTTTTTTCAAGATCTTACTTTTTAAGTAAAGAAAAGAACTCTACCATGCTTTGCATCTTAACATGCTCTTTCAAACAAAAGAATTTTAAAGAGGTAGAATGGGTCTGGATAGAGAAATCTGGCTTGCTAAATTAACTATTGTTTATCATTGTTTGGTGAATATCTCCATCAAACCGCATGGTGTACAGCTTCTCCACTACAGTCTCAACATATCCTGAAAATTTCATGAGATTTGCATGTACTTGAACCAAAACTCATTTTGAGCAAGTGCAAGAGTAGCTTTAGGTGTTTCAATAATTTTTCGACTGACTGTATATTGATAAAGTATTAGCTTCTTGGCCCAAAACGGTTTTCTTGATATATAATGCTCAAGACTCTCATATCGAATTTCATTTATAATTGTATTGGTCTTTTGTTTACATTTATGGAAAATAAAACTATTAAAAATAACGTAATCAACCTGTATACTATGTGGTTGCAAAAAGCCAACATAGTTGTGACGTATAAACAATTCTCAACTGCACAAAAAGAACGTAAGTAAAGTTAGTCCTATATTTGAGTTTTTTGTGTGCGGATTTGTTTTTGAACTTGGGTTGGCTCTCTACTTGGTTGGGTTATATGCAGAGTTAAATTCTGCATCTAATTATGCCATTTTTGACTGGGGTCATCGAGCAAAAATCTCACTCATACTCCAAATATTGACTTTTTTTGGGGATTTTTCCAAAGTATGTCGCGTCCGAATTCGCTCTCTCACTTGGATTAGCTCTACAAATGGGTATAGGTGTGAGTGTGGCTCTCTCTTTTCAAACAGCCATACTCACACACCCACACTCCACACTCACATCCACTTTACTCAGGGGTGGATCCAGAAAATCAGTGAGGGAGTGACGGTTTGTCGGAGGAAGCGGCGATCATAGTCAAATAACGGTTTTTGAAGCCTATTCGAGCCAGTACAACTCTTTTTTTGCATTTCTGCTGAAAAAAAAATTTGCGAGGGGGCGGCGGTCGCCGGTTCGCCGAACATTGGATCCGCCACTGACTTTACTATAGAATATCCACATGAACTAAAAATTTGAATTTTTGGTTTCAGACTATGGCCTTTCGAACGTACATAAAAGATCAAAAATTTAAATTTTGACCACTGTCTCTGGTTCTCGGTTCTCTCATGAAGCCTCTCTTAATGATTATATGCTTGCAACTTCAAATATTTAATTATTGAATACTTGAAAATGACTTGAATAGCTGAATTCAAGTTTCAATTACTACACTACGAATCTGTACTAAAATTTGTGTACCTGATCATCATATTTATCTTAAACAAAATTTGAATCAATATATTACATTCTTTAATACCTAAAGAGATTCGAGATTATGTTTGCTTCTTCTAAACAATTAACTGATTTGATTTCTGAAATCTGGCAAGTTTTGAATGATTTTCAATACGAAAGAAAAAATTAATGATTAACATCTTTGTCATATTTACAACAATAGAGGACAGAAAAATTTCAAAACACAATAGACTGATTATTTGATTTGCTTGTATAATGAACTGTGGTAAACTCACGTGACCGATGCTTGCTGTTGTAACTGAGATTATTGTTGTGCTCTTCTTTCAGCCTCTTGCTTAATCATCATCTGCTGGATATGTGTTGGTAAACCTGGATTGAGACTCAAGGCATACGGTAACAGTGTTTTGGGCATAACACCAAAATCAACTAGAATTTTGATAAACATGGTGTCATCTCTGACATATGGATTGCCATCTTGTTCAATCATTGCCAATGGGAAAAACTTTGGTATACCACTCGCTATGTTCATATCAGATCTTGGTCGCTGAAAACTATTCGATCTTTTATCTGGTCGAAATGAATCGATGATATGTCGTTGTGCAGGAGTTTGATCATACAAACAGAATATGACTTTGCAATTAAATGGGAATTTGAGTATGGCATCATTCAAGCCCGCACAAGCGCAAATAAAAGTGGCATATGTGTACGACGAGCACTTCCATCGCCATATAAATACAAACGTGCCCGCATTTTGTAGCCAGTTGGGGATGAATAAAATGAAGGAGAATAGATTGAAGTTTGTCGTTCAGACTCGGCATCAGCTACAAATAAATACTTTAATCAATAGCATGTTCATAACCTATCAATCGAATGCAACACAAAGCAGATAATGAAAAATAGATTTATATGAGTATCGGAATAAAACATGAATGATTTGAATGTGAATAGTGAAATAGAGAGGTTATGTAAGCGAAATAGAAACGTAATAGAAACTTTACTCATTTTCTCTCTGACGCCAGTTATCTTCCATATGAATGTTCCATCATAAGAAACGGACTGTAGATCATCCACTTGTTGTTTTAATGATGCCACATCTTGATGAAGAATCTCTTGATTAGGTTTGATTCCATTGATAAAAGTGTCCTGTTCTTGAATGCTCAGTTTGAGTGCTGCCATACTACGATTTAGAACATCTGTCCCGTTCTGTAGTCTTAGAGATTCAGTACTGAGACGTTGCCCATCTTCATTCAATGTTTGAATTCCTTCAGCGAGAATATCAATCGTTTCATACATTTCTTGCAACTGAACACTCATGTTGTTAGTATCAGGTGGAATTGTAATCATAGTAGAATGAGGCACGATATCCATATCCATATAGGAATTTTGTTCTTGTCTGTC